AAAAATAGAAAAGAGAAATCAATAATAGAAGATTTCTACTTGTTAGCAATTATAAATTCTAACTCTAAGAAACTAAAATACACCCCAAAAATTTTTGAAATTTCGTATCAAAATAAAGTCAATTCTCAAAAATCAGCCGATCATGGAAGAATTTATTATTTTATAGTTACACCTTATTATAATCACCTAATTTCTGTATTCTGAGTAGGGTGAATATATCGAATTGTAACTATATATTAACATATTTAGATCAGCCTTAATTTATAAATGGTCTTTGCTGGATCTTGACATCCCTATCTGACCATCTGACCATCTGACCTCTATTTCCGGCTAATAAATACACCAAAAATTAGAAAGTTCCTTAAAACTGTGAAAGCAAAATTTAACATTGACGATGAATTGTCAAAGGTCTAATAAAGTTAATTTAACTTGCAATTAATCATTATAGTAATTTATTAATAAGGTTTGTTTTTTTTTTTTGGTTTTTTGAATGGATCAGAAAAACTTGCAGAATGTGATTTTGCGGGAAATCAAAAAAATGAAGTTATTAATACATATATTCTATTCTATTTTATTCTACTAAGGTTGAACCAGTTATTTTTTCATGATAGGAAAAAACCACATGCGGATTTACGGAAATCTATAGATAAAAGACAAAATTATATTTTTCTACATTGAATTAATCAAAAGCATTTACAATTAGGCATACGAAGTAAATTTCTTGGTATTTCATAAAATTAAACCTTCAGAGCAGATTCACCAGCCTTTTTTTTTTTTTGAATTTTATCATTTGGCGCGGGTGCGTTGTGACGTACCCATAAGATCCGGTGTAACGTGAAATCAAAACAAACCAGCAACGCATTAAGAATTTTTTTGTTAGAACGCGAAAAGTGGTTTCGTAAGCAAAATTATGATTTTTTTCAAAACATCGATTTCACGTTACACCTAATCTTACGATCTGATTGGTCGATCAGGTGGATGCTACAACACACATGCGCTAATTATATAACCCTTTTTTTTTTTTTTTTTTTTTGATATTCACCCGGTTATTAGAATGCATAAAAATAAATTTTGGAATTTTTCAAATTTTGATCCAACAGAATCGCAAAAACCAAGAAATTAATTTGTATGACCTTAATAAATAAATATTTGTTATCAATATCTTACCAGTAACGACCGTTTCTGCTAATATATTGACCGTTATTCTCATCAAGAGAGTCGGTTCGTGATCGTTTGCTATGGAAAATAAAAAAACTTGAATACAAGAAATACGAAAGAAGTATAATTAATTATGAAACTATAGGACATACATTTCTCTTTCGCTAACATCAAATTCAACAAATTCATCGTACTCTTGATTGTCTATAGTGACCTCTTCAAAATCCTGGTCATCATTGTAATCTTCTGCCTCTTCAAATTCATCCTCGTCTTCTACTTTTAATTCAGGCATTGGTGACTCTGTTTCAGAATTATTAAGAGAGTTATTAAATATAAAAAACTTATATAATTTATATTCAAGTTTAATACTAAATATTTAATATGTATTCAGTTTAGATTTAAGTTTAGTTTGAAAGTTTATAAACTTCTTCAAAAGTTTAGATTAGACAATTCATTAGGACCTGAATCTAAACTTATTTATAAATATTAAACTAAACTCAAATTAAATTATAATTATATTTAAAGGCATGGCCTTACCATTAATATTAAAAAAAAAAAAATTATAGTCATATTTAAATTTAGTTTAGGTTTAGCAACTTTGTGTTTAAGTTTAAATTCAGGTTCAAGTTTTAGAATCTAGTTTGATCTGAGCCTGAACCTTGAAACTCTAATCACCAGTTTTACTAATACCACCAGTTTTATCAACATTACCAGTTTCACTAACACCACCAGTATTATTGGTGATTGGTGAAAATTGGTGCACCATTGAAGATTAGTTTCACCTACAACTCTAATCCGGATTCGGCGGATCTTATAAATCATGGATCCGAATTCGATCCGATGACCAGATCTGGAACACTACTTAATGCCGGCCAACCTCCTTGTAAAAAATAGAAAAGAGAAATCAATAATAGAAGATTTCTACTTGTTAGCAATTATAAATTCTAACTCTAAGAAACTAAA